GATCTTCACTTCATAGCTATCGCTGACGCCGTTTTTATTCGATCATTCGGTATATTTAAACAATAATAATAGTTAAGTAAATAAATATGTAATTGGCTAAGGCTATATTCGAAATATTTTATGAACAAATAAAAGTTAAAAAAAAGATAAATATTTTGGTATGCTCAAAATTTGCCGCCCCTAAAAATCTGCCGCCCCAGGCCCGGGCCTAGTTGGCCTAGGCCTAAGTCCGGCACTGAGTACTGAGACTCTTAGTGCCTTTGTTCCGACGTTGTCGACAAAGACAGTACCAAAGTTAAGAGTCCCAATCTATTCCAACTAACTTCATATAAACTATAAATACATAGTTGATGAACAATTGTTGGAATGGTGTTCACCTTTATTCCTGATAGTTGTTGATTTTGAGCGTGCGTTTGATAGTCTATAGCACCTATATCTTTGGATAGCCTTCAGCAGAGCTGATATTCCTAACAAAATAGTAAGAATTATAAAGGCGCTCTATTGTGAAACTCACAATAGAGCGCATCCAACACTGCCTCCTCATTCCGAATCAACATTCGGAATGAGGAGGCAGTGTTGCGTCCTGTCCTATTTTTTTTGTAATATCCCCTTAAATGATATTCTAAATTGGTGAGAGTTTGGACCAACAATATCGCTCCCTTTATCATTGGAACAACACTTATAGAGGCGGTAAATAATTTTACTTCCTTAGGTAGTATAATCTCAACCAACGGAAGCACAGAACAAGATATCATAAACAGAATAAACAAGGCCAGAATAACATTTGGAATGCTCAACAATATTTGGAGATTTAGAGAGTATTCTCAACTCACTAAACTTAAAATTTTCAATTCAAATGTTAAATCAATATTGCTGTATGGTGCAGAGACCTGGAAAATTACACTGCCATTAATTAACAAACTCGAAGTATTCATAAACCGCTGCGCTAATCAATGGGAAATTTGGTTTGGTTTGATTTTTTTAAATAGTATATTTTTCTATCCCATAAAATAAAGTGATGGGGAAAGTCTAAACTTGCTTTTATTAAAATAGGGATAACTCTGGTTTAGGTTAGCCGATTTAAACAAACTAGGGCTCGTTTAAAAGAGCCTTTTCTTTCTTAATAACCTACAGTTATTAAGAAAGCAGCGCAAACCGCAACTTTCTATCTTCTCTCTAACGGATGATATTAAGAGAACAAATCATGTTACGCTGCATGTCATTATAAGGCCTAAAATTTAAGTAGTAGGCTAGGAAACAAAAAAAGGTAGATTGGTTAAGCCAAAATATCAAAATGCTTAAGTTTAGTTTTATGCATCCTTCCTTGAATTTCGGACGTTTTCTGAGAAAAATGGCGTCATAAATGTTTTTCTGTAACATTACCTTCCATCCATATATCTTTTTCGAATTTCTTGGTTAATTTTATGTAGATAGTTGCTGTCAGATTAAAATGTTCGAAGTCGGACAGTAAATAATTTTATTAAAATTTTTAGTAATTTTGTGTCGCCATAAATATTGTTTTGCAACAGAAAACGCCGGAATTTCGTATGGCCGAAAACTAGGATTTATTTTCATGCTAACGTCATTTAGTTATTAATCCAAGTTCTTCGTTGATTTCACTTGTTTTCGTGTTTTACCTGTTGTTTGCGTTATTTATAATAATATTATTAAGTTTATGTTGTTCGGGTCACTTTTCATATAGCAATAAAGGTGCGAATCTTAACAATATGCAGCACTGGTCTAAAACAAGCCTTGGTGCAAGTAGTTCAGCACCAAGACCGTTGGTCGATAAATGTTTGGGCAGGAATTCTAGGAGAGCGAATGACTGGATTTTTCTAATCTTTGAATGGAATGAACTATCCACAATTTCTAAAAGAGGAATTGCTAATTATGTTAGAGGATCCATCATGATGAAATTGCATTTGCTGCCATTTCAGCATGATGGTTTAATTGGTGTAGTTGTGCAGCTTATTTTGCTATAAATGTGTGAGGATTCTGGGATACTACATACATTTGTAGAAAAAGACGGCGGAGCGGCATATTTCTATGGCCAGCTAGGTCACCGGATTTAACATGCCTGGGTTTTTATTTATGGAGTCGAATCAAGAACGAACATGGTTAGATAACAATTAAATGACATCAAAATGAAACCAAAATATACGTTTTGATATTTTGATGTACCCAATTTACCTCTTTTTGTTTCCTAGCCTATTACTACAATTTTTAGACCTTATAATGACATGTTGCCTAACATGATTTGTTCTTTTAATATCCCCCGTTAGAGAGAAGATAGAAAGTTGCGGTTGGCGCTGATATTTTGAAAATGTGTTCTATTTAACTGTCCAAAAAGAAACATAACCAGCTACTAATTTCTTTTATGTAAAAGCGCAATATCTGTTATGATGTCAAACAGCGCCCTCTAGCTATCAGAAAAAAATTATGGAATCAAAATTTATACTGAAGATCATTAGGGAAAAACTCTTTTAAACGAGCTTTAGTTAGGTTAAATCGCTAACCCAAACCAGAGTTATCCTTATTTTAATAAAAGCAAGTTTAACCTTCCCCCACCACCGAGCCCACCACTTTATTTTATGAGATAACAAAACAAGCTATATAAAAAAAAGAAATAAAAATTTCCCTTATACAAATATAAAATCCTGTTTTCTGATAGTCCGTCACAGGTGCGCCCCCTAATATCCAGCAATTTGTCTTGGCCGATTTACTTATTATATTTTTTTCTAAGACGGTAAGTAGTTTCTGAGATACAGCCGGCGCGACCTCCATTCTTAGTTAGCCACTCGGTACTTTAAATAAGGACTACCTATATTTTTTATGATTTAATTACAAATGTATAGTTTTCAGATTTCTCCCTATATTCGTAGTATAATAAGACGGTATTACTTGTCAAACTTTATAATTCTAGGTCATCGGAAAATACCCTATATATGTTGATTCCCTTGAGAGTGTCGAAATATACGTTTTTTGCGGCGCATAACCGACTGCGAATGTATCTTTTTTTTACGTTAACTTAGAAGTTTGAATTTTTCACAGCCTTCAAGGGACTGTAGACCCGAGTATATGATTTTAATTTCAAATCTATATCTCCACGCGTTCTTTTAAGATTAATATCGTATACTTACATCAGTAAAAATCATATTTAATTTTAATTCGCTACCTAAAAATCTATAAAAAATCATTTAGGAGTGTGATTTTATATTGATTTTTTATCTAATTTAATAAACAATTAATTTGCAATACTCAATGAAATTGAGTTAAATTAATATGGAGCTTGAATATGTATAAAAATATATAAACAAGGGTGTAGAAAAGAAAATATTATATAGCATTCTTTCAAAAAATTAAAACTGTATTGTAAAAATAAACTTGCGTCTCTTGCGTCTCTATACTTGTGCGTTGTGCGTCTCAAAAGTGGCTCACCACTATAACTTTTTTATTTTTCCAGATAAAAAAATGAGATTTGGTATGTTAATATATGACATAAATTAGGATTGATTGATGTATTCAATTCTTTTCGGCCACTTCTTGTTTCGTCGGAAATTACTACAATTTTTGATTTTTAAATGACACCCTCGGTAGTTTTTTATTTTATTCGTATTTTATTCGATAGAAAATGACACTGAATATAATGACATATTATTATATGTCAACTTTTGACATTTTCACTTAAAACAAAATTGTATTTAAAATTTCAATCTAGAGTTTAAAAACACAAATTTGTCCTAGCCGGTTAATAGATGCCCAAATCGTATTTTTAATTATATCTCAATTTTTTCAAATAGAACGAATGTGGCTCATTAGTATATTTGGAGAAAGCATTTTTTTGCGAATAATTTGGTATACTGTACACTTGGTATTTCGAGTCAAATTGTCGTTATGAATCGCATGCTGCAATTTTAAGTAAACCATATCCGATAATGTCAAAATTTGACATATTATATATCAATCTATTCAGAGCGTTATTTTCCATCGAATAAAGTAACAAAATATCGAGGGTGCCATTTAAAAAATCAAAAGTTGTAGTCATTTCCGGTGAAACAGGAAATGACCGAAAACAATTAAATATGTCAATCAATCCTAATTTATGCCATATACTAACATGCCAAATCTCGATTTTTTATCTGAAAAAATAAAAGTTATAGGGGTGAGCCACTTTTGAGACGTACCCTGTACACTGAAAGAAACAAAACCCTGTATAATAACGAAACAAAATTATTGGTATTAATCTCGGTATTAATGCTTTTTTGTTTGTATTAATATCGGCCAAAATATAGTTGTTAGCGGTTAAAGTTGTTAAGTTGCTAAAAATTGTGTGTAAATCAGTTGTGAATAAGTTTTGAAGACATTTTTGCAAAGTATTAATTATTGTGAATTTAACTATGTAGTTCTATTACCGAAGATTAACTGTTAGATAATAAAAAGTTCTTGTCAGTATCTTTTCGCTAACTTTAATTGCAGAATACCAAATTCGTCAATGTTGAGTAAAATAATTAAAAGAATCTATATTTCCACCACAAAAAAAATATTTATTTGTGTGGAGAGATTAAAAAATACAAAAGTAATGCCAAATAATTCCATAATAATACTAGTAATACCACAAATAATGACAAAAATGCCAACTAATTCCAACTAATACCACGATTAATACCACTAATACCAAGTAATGCCAACATAATGCACCATGGGTTTACCCCTCACTTTTAACTGAAAACAAGAAAAATAATAGGAGATATATGTTAACAAATAGATATATTTAATTATTTATTAATATATTCACCCTGACGTCACAATAAAGGTAAATTATTAAAAGAACAATTAATTGATTATTTGCTACTATCAAATATTAAATTGTATCCAATGAAATTACTCCAAGAGTATTAAAAATAAATTACAACCAATGAGGATGTAGAATTATACCAGCTTGGCATTTAATTGGTCAGGCAAGTTACAATAAAATATATAGAACCGCGGATATTATTCCCAAGTCAGAAAATCGGTATATTTCAAATTTAGTCGGCCGTTGTTTTTCAGTCTGAAAACATATAAGAACTCTTAAAATAATATAGTCGGTGGTAAATTATTTTCTGTAAGTACTAATTACACCAATTAATAGATACATTAAATATACAAGTAGTTATTTAGTGTTTTAATAAAGCATTTTTTCTCTATACATAGGTTAGATATTAATAATATATATTAATAATATTATTATATAAAAAACTACATAAGAAATAATTAACACTGGAATATTATGACTTTATTAATTTGTTAATTGCAAGTGAACATGAAAGCGTTAGATTTTTTATATTTTTTTTGGTATTTCTTTTTAAATTTCACAGAGCTTACTAAAATAAGGTTAATTTTAAATGCTTACTGATAAGCTAGTGATAATACTTAGAAGTTTGTAGTTTGGTACTTCGTTAACGTTTCCATCACTATCTTCATTAGGACTAATATATTTAAGATATTAATAAGGTTATAAATACAAGATAAAATAAAATAAATACCACTATATTTTAGTCATGTTTTAAATAATTGTATTTATTATATTTTTTCTTTTATTTATATCTTTTTAACATCTTAAATATTTAATTAAAACTAAATTTCCTAGCTGGTCCTAATTAAGATCAAATATTGATCGAAATTTTGCCGAAATATAAAACTAAGAACTTCTAAGTGCTTTTATTGGTCTACAGTATGTCCCCGGATTGTCTGTACAAGAGGAAAAACTTTTTTATTGTTGACATTTAAAGGAAAATGCATTCTTCATAAAATTTTTTGCTTGTTCTAAAATGATTAATCCCGTTTATACTTTTTCAAATTTCCATGCCGCTTTAGAGAAAATTAAAAAAGAACATGAAAATACGGTTGAAGTTTCCCTAAAAATCATAGCCCGTTTCTATGGTAGTATAATTTCGTTTTTATTCTTTGATAGATGGTTATTGGATAGAATTTTAATTAACGTTATATTTTTTCCTGTTTTAAAATGTTAAAGAAGCACAATATTTATTTAGTCCAATGCTAAGGAAAGGATGATAATAGGGTTCGGAAAATGTGATAGTTTAACAACAAAAAATGTGACTTTAATTAAAATTAATAATAACCATCTATTAAAGAATGAAATCGAAATTATATTACTGTAACTCCTTTTGACTTTTAGGACTTAGAAAAATTCAACCGTATTTTCAAGTTTTTTTTAAATTTCTCTAAAACGGTATGGAAATTTGGGAAAGTATAAACGGGAGTAACCATTTTAGAACAAGCAAAAACTTTAATAAAGAATGCGTTTTTCTCAAAATGTCAATAATAATGAAAAAAATCCTCTTGTAAAGACAATCCGGGGACATACTGTATATCTAAATAAAAAACTATACAAGGTGTTTTAAATAAGTGCAAATATTTTCAGGGTTGGTAGATCTCGATAAAAGAAACATATTTTCTCTTTACCGTTTTTCAAATAAAGTCCAAAATAACCGAGTTATTTTAATTTGAAAATTTCCAAAAAAATATTTTTTGTTTAAATTTTGAGAACCACTCGATCTTTTCTGGTGAATTTAATCTATTACCTATGTTACCATATTATCAAGAAGTTTTTGATGAAGAGATGTTTTTTTAACTAAAAATTAAAAACATTTCCAAAAATTTTTTCAAAATTTTCAATTCTTTTTCACAAAAAAAAACTCATAATTGTGTTTCTGGGTTCGAAATATACTACCCTTAAAGATATTTATTTGCACTTATTATACAGACTCACCCTGTATAATATTAGATACAAAAATTCATATATGAAAAAGAAAACACTAATTATAATACATATTATGGAAAATAAAACACACAAAACTTTAACACAGTGTTAAAAGTAAAGTGCTTTAGTGTATTGTAGTGAATTAGTATTTTATTTTGTTGTTGTACACCAAAGGTTCCAACTCGTAACTATAATATTTCTATATAATTCGGTATGATAAATGTCTATACCTATGTGGCGGATTCATCTCTCCAAAGAAATCCTTTATGGGTATTTCGCCACTTTACTGGTACATTGGTGAAACATCTAGACCCTTAAATGTTAGAATTAAAGAACATAAAGATTATTTAAGAAAGGGAGATTTTCACAAATCTAAGATTTGTCAGCATTCATGGGACACAGGGCACAGAATAACTTTTAACAACGCCAAAATTATAATGAAAGAAGCGATAGCCTCTAAAAGAAAAATAAAAGAGGCTCTTTTAATTCAATCTAATAAAAATAAATGTATTGCTCATGCATCTGTAGATGTTAGTAATGTATGGCAATCGCTTCTTTGATTTTAAAGTACATAACATAAATAAACATAACATACGTAAAATTTAAAAATAATCATACAGAAAGTTTTGGGTTTTTTTGGTTTTACCTTATTAAATAATTGTTATCAAGTAGTAATTGTTAATTTTGAAGTTTAACTTGATATAGTCTGTGAAACGAATAATTTTGAATTTGACAGTTCCCGCGGGTTTTTCTAGTGTTCATTTTATTAGGTTAGCAACTTGCGGCCATGCTGACGCAATGCCGTCTCTAATAGAACAGCAACGGAACGAGATTTATGACGTCACGCTAACATAATTATTCCTTATATTTGACTATGACTGAAATCGTATTCCATAGTCAATGTAGATAGTTTTAGTGTTAAGAATAATAATTTAAAAAAATATGTGGTCATCTTTTGGCAAGTGTATATTAGTTTATTAATTGCAGTAAACATTATGTGATGTGTGGTGTGAATATTTTATATGCAATTTTTTGAATTATATTCGACACTATTTTTTTTATGACACAACACTGATGAAGGCTATAATGTTAGCCGAAACGTTTTTTTAAACCAAAAAAAATAATAAAAAACCAACTGAAAACTTAATCAACGGTTTTCCCGAACCTAAATCCCAAGAAAATCAAAAATTTTAGAATAATTTTACATTATAAAATGTATTATTTGCAAATATAATTTTTCCAACATTGATACTTGCAAAATATATTATGTACAAATAAATTTTGTGAATGCAAATAATAATACATCACTATTAGTATATATTGAATGTTTTTTGTTAAATTAGATCGATTTTCAAACCCCAAAATTTAAAATATATTTTACATTTTACCCATTATTCGTTATTTGTATATTGCAAAACATTTGCTGCATTTGTATGGTTCATAGTTTATTTGCCAAAGTATATAAGTATATATATATTATATTTATTAACTGTATATTTTGTATATTTCATGTAAACTACGAGGAATAATTATGTTTTCCATGTATTCTACAACATATTTATTAATCCGTATCTAATTAGCGTGACGTCATAAATCTCGCTTCGAGGCTGTTCTATTAGAGACGGCATTGGTCTGATAGTTAGAAATGTCAAAAGCTGATGACATTTTACTTTTGACAATTATGCCATTTCGTGTTGATTTTTGCAAGAAGAGGAAGAACTGTCACTTGGTTTATTACTTTCCTTTTCTATTTCACGAAAGTAAAAAGAGTTACCTATCTGATTCGTTCAGGCACTCAATTTAAAGAATACTTAAAGAATATCAGTAACTTTTTTGATAGAGGGATTTTATATTTGCCATGTTGGTAAAAAATAACGGTCAAAATTCAAAGTTATTCATTTTATAGACTATATAATGTCATTTTAACAGAACGTCAACGGTTTCTTGTAGACGTATCTGTATATAAAAAAGTAAAGTGTTCTCGAATAGTTGAATTTAAATATTTTAAATAGTTTTTTTCTTTATTCTTTGTATTTTTTGCTTCCGACGACGGAAAGAGATAAACTTTCCGAAACGTTAAGCATTTTTTTTCTTTGTTCGGCAAATTTTTATTACTGTAAACATAACTTCTGACAAGCAGTGTCCGTTTAGGTTTAACGCAGAAGTGTTTACAAAAAATAACTATTTTATTTTGTAGATTTTTCTTGCAGTGCAGTGGGGAAATACCCATAAAGGATTTTTTTTATAATATTTATATCTGTTAAAAAATCTTAATTTAGAACATGTGGATAAAGGTTGATTCTCACTATACTTTCCGGTATTCTCTACTTTCCGTTTCCGTAAAATATTATATCATGTAAATGAATAGAGCAGAACACACTATCCGTTCCGTTTCCATGGTTACGTTTAATAATCTGAATACACTTGAATTAAACGGAAGGTATCCGGGACGGATATGGAACGGTAACAGAAAGTACGGTGAGAATCAATTTGGAATCAACCTGGAACAAGTGAAAAATTGTAAAATGATATTGGTTCATTTCCTAACTTTGAAAAGTGGTATTTATAGGAACAACAATGTTTTTGACAAGTAAAATGTATTTTATCAACTATTGTACATATTAACTATTACCAAACAAAATTCTCTTACTACTATTCTGTTAAAATATTAATAATTACTTGTTTATTGTTTTTATATAATGAAACATTATTTCCAGTTTATTTTCAAAAAGTATTTTTTTAAATTGCATTTAATTGGCAATGTAGTGGCACTTCAATAACCTTTATATGTGTATTTTTATTGCCTTTACTTTGAACTCGTACGGTCGCAATTAACCAAACTTGTTTCTTTATATATTGCTTTTGATCGAGCACACAAAATATCTAGAAAGCCTTGAATTTCTTTAAAAATATATATTGGTATACATTCTATACGGTGTCTACAATATTGGTAGATTTCAATATTGCGCTGTTATTAAAATTATTGTATTCGGTTTTTCAAAATACAATTGAGTTTTAAATGCCCAATAGTTGAAGCAAATAGATGTTTTAAGAGGTACAATATGTTTTATAGTAATAGAAATAGAATATAATCACATGACTGGAATATTATAAATTAAATTGATATAAATAACAGTATAAAAATTAGCTATTATCCGCAGATTTTCTAAAATATTATTTAATATTGTTATTAGTATACAGGGTGTGTCCTAAATAAGCGAAAGTCGTAAACAAACAGGGCAGGTAAGCCCAAATTGATAGTATTGTTGCGTTTTTCGTTGGTTCCGTGTGGATAGAAAGTCTAATTTATTTAAACATAATTTATTTTACACTAAGTAACA